CATCATCATCATCATAAACCACACGTGATCCAAGCAACAACTCAACTATCATCCCTTCCCCCTTTCCAATCAATTTATCTTAAGAGTTCTTCGTATTTTTTTTTTTTGGCCAAAAAAAAATACCTCACTTTCTGCAATCGATCGCAATGCCCGAAAAGACGCCCCCCTTACGCAGATTGGAATTCAAGTCTTTTCAAGACCGGAACGGTGACCGTCCATCACAGACCCTGATATTTCACAACAATGGCTCTTCATGGTGGATCAAATTTACCGTAGATTGGTCACTGCCAGAACAAGTACGGGGCCTGGGTTATTTCAAACGCCGTTTCGTCTTTCAAGAATTCCTTGAAGCGATTGATTTCGGCCAGTTGCAGCTTTTGGACGATACTGTGACAAGCATTACTTTAAGCTTGACCGAGCAGAGTCAAAACTCGATCATGATACGGGATGGGCACCAAAATCCAGCAAACTCCTTCATTGCCGTTGCCCATCAAATGCGCTGCAAGATCGCAGAAGATCCAAAGAGGGTCACATACCCGACTCTAGCGCGGGAACGATGTTTACCAATATTTGAGGCTTGTTGTTTGCAGACTGTTGAGATTGTCGCTCCAACAGTCTCCAGAGTTATGTTTAAGCAACACACGTTTGCTTACAAAACTATTGACCGCCCTATCTATGAGCCTGAAGACACGAAACATGTGATGAACGAGATTGGTGTCCTTGCAGAACTCCGCGGACTTCCGGGCATCGCGCAGCTAGTTGGCCTAGTTGTTTCGGAGAACCCGTATAAGACCTACCCGTCAACCAATATGCCAGCAGTGATCACAGGATTTCTTCTTGAATACTATTCCAGAGGGTCGCTTGAGCAAATTTTTGAGGACGAGTTTCGGTTTGATGCTTTGCCAATACAATGGGCCTTACAGATTGGCACAGCATTAAGATCGTTGCACAAGAGAAGGCGAACTCATCTTGACATCAAGCCATCGAATATCGTTTTGGATGCCAATGAAAATGCCGTCCTTATCGATGTTAGCGGAACCGGTGGTTACGTGTGGGAATGGCTTTCACCAGAGATGCAGATCCTCATTCAACAAAACAGTGAAACAAGTCCTGCCAATACGCCATTTGAGGCACGGGTTGCCACGGATTGTTGGGCTTATGGAAGATTACTCTCGGCTCTCGCCGAAAAGAGTGGCACCCCTGGGATTAATAAAAAACTGCAATTTATCGCTGATGGTCTGACCAAGGCGGCTCCCGAATCTCGCATCTCACTATGCGATGCTCTCGCGCAACTGAATGAGAAGGTGTAGCAGTCGTCCACAAGAAGCTGAACCTTGCGAGGATAGAACCGTGTACATCAACTATATTGTTGAATTTTTTTTTTCCATTTAGCAACTCACTTTTCTCCGTCAACTCAAAAATGCCACCCGATGGTCGAGGTCTGTTCTAAATTGTCTGTGTTTCTGTTTTCTTTGCTGTCACCTTCCTTCGACGGCTAGCGGACACCACCACCACCAAATAATGGGTTTCTGCTGGCTTCCCTTTTGACCGCATCTCATGGCCATTTTTATCACTATAACTGTGTCATCTTCTCGCTTTTGAATGTTCATGTCAGAAATTCACTCTGTGCTCCAAAACTGTCCTGTGGTATCTGACCAGATGAATTATTCGATAGTATGCAATCTCTAATTTCCAAGTTTAAATCTTGTCCAAAGCCGTCTTCAAGCTTGAAATATTTCTCGCTTCTATGGCAAGAGGCTCCATGCGTTTCCCTCTACCTCCACAGCTTCAATGATTTATCTAATCATTGACAGAGTGTTCATTGAGTCCAAACTTCAACAGTGGAGTCAGCAAGAGGTGCATATAACAAGGATTTATCCTCGGAGTGCTTCAAAGGCAAATTCGATGCCTTGTGGACGTAAATGATGTTCTCGTTACATTCGATATTCAGCATATCATCGGCTTCTATGCTAGTTCTCCCATCTTTACATTGGATGCGTCTTACATTGGATGCGTCTTACATTGGATGCGTCTTACATTGGATGCGTCTTACGTTGGATGCGTCTTACATTGGATGCGTCTTACATTGGATGCGTCTTACATTGGATGCGTCTTACATTGGATGCGTCTTACATTGGATGCGTCTTACGTTGGATGCGTCTTACATTGGATGCGTCTTACATTGGATGCGTCTTACATTGGATGCGTCTTACATTGGATGCGTCTTACATTGCATTATGTCTCCTTCTTAATACCTCTACATCGTAGGCTTTAAATTAGGTGGGTGCCTACTCTTATTCCACTCGGCATCATCCAATCCGCAATTTGTGCGCAGGCTCTAGGCCTTCAATCAAAAGCAAGGCAAATCCGCTACTCAACTGTATGGAGGATGACTGATTGCTGCATTAAGTCGACAGAAAGCATGCTTTCAGACTCATTGGCACAGCCACTGCATGTAGCTTGCTTCGTATTATTGGGGGACAGGCATATGATGGAGGGGGCCCTTCAGTGTCAGGAATGTAATCCGCCTCGCAAGGGCTGCTGGGAACTGAATGGTCCAGAGGCTCCTTAATCGGAGACAATACGGTGAGACTGATTTCAGGCGCGTCTGTATAAATATGCAGGTCAACTCTCAAACCAAGAGTCCTGCATTGGAAGAATTGGTTAAGAAAAACACGACTCATGAAAAGCTTACGGCGGCGACTTTTGTTTGTCTCTTAGCTGTTCCCAGTCTCCAACTTTTGTTATTCCAGAGAACAGTCAAGGCTGTTCACCGGAAACAGAAAATACTTGGGCTTATCCGATCCCTGTGAAGCTATGTTGACCAGACGGCAGCTCTGAGGTGCGTTTAAAGAGTGTCTTTTCGGCAGGCGACAGGGTGGGGTGTTAAAGTGGATCACGCACGGGTACGCACAGAGACTGATGACGCTAAACCCCAAAGCCTATAGCTAAACTAAATCGGGACTCTATCGTACCCGTCCGATATGGTGTAGTGGCTAACATCGCCGTCTCTCACACGGCAGCCGGGGGTTCGATTCCCCCTATCGGAGATTGATCTGTCATGTATTTTTGTCTGCGGTGCCAATTTCATCTTACACGGGAAAAAGAGAAGTGGGTGAGCGTACGATTGGCCAAATAATTTTTCAGACATCGTTTTACGATGTGCAAAAGTACGAATCTTTCATTACCTACAACATACACACTTATACCCGGTCGTCGCCAAGTAACCCCACCCCCTTCCGGTATAGGGTTACCACACCTTAATAGAAACTCTTGCCTACAGTGACTCCGCAAAAGTTTTAACACCCCTGGCCCCACACCCCTATATTATGTAATTTTCTGCCGGAATAAAACCATGAATTCAAACTATCCATCTAGTACGGCGTATACCACCCCTGGCTCTCAACAACAGCCTCCACCCGGTTCGGCTTGGTCCCAGAGATGCTTTAGATGATCTAGATCTAATTGATCCCATGCAAGCTGCGCTGTAGCCCCCGAAAAAGCAGCCCAAAACATCTGTTTAACTTGCTTGCCTCGGTGTGGTAATCCTTGACATTGTCCTTCTTTCGGCTGGTCTCTCGGGCGAATAAAGGTCCATTCTCGACGAACACCAATCCCACGCTCAACCGTACACTCATCAGACCAAAAAACACGGGCCCAATCCTCAGGGGTAAAGTGTCGGTAACGTACGGCCCAACGGAGTCGTTTAAGTGCAGCTTCCTCAGATAAATAAGGCCTCCAGCTACATCTCCATTTCCGGAGGTTTTCAGCATTTAAAAGGCGTCGAACT